TTGGTCGACTCGTGGTAAGTGGTGTTGTACCAATACTCAGCCCATGGTAAAAAGTTTTCCCACCGCTTTGGGAATTGATGGACGTAGCACCTCATATACTGCTCAAGGGTTCGGTTGGTTACCTCAGTTTGTCCGTCTGTCTGTGGGTGGTAGGCTGAGCTCATAGACAATTTAGTCCCTTGCAACTTGAAGAATTCAGACCAAAAGCTGCTCATAAAAATCCGGTCTCGATCAGAGACGATGGACCGAGGTGCTCCATGTAGTTTCATCACGTACTCCACGAATAACCTGGCAATCGACTTTGCGGTGTAAGGATGGGTAATGGGTATGAAGTGAGCGTACTTCGTGAGACGATCCACCACAACCATAACACCGTCAAATCCATTAGAATTCGGTAGCCCCTCGATGAAATCCATGGTGATGTCTTCCCAGATTGCCTCGGGCACTGGTAGTGGTTGCAATAGCCCACTCGGCCGTCGTGAGTCAGACTTAGTACGCTGGCAATCATCGCATCGTGCTATGTAGTCTCGGACGGTACTCTGTTGCCCCGTCCAGAAGAAGGTGTTGGCTATTCTCATCCATGTGCGATAGATACCCGAGTGGCCTCCAACCTTAGAGTCATGGAAGTGTTGCATAATCTGTTCGCGTAACTGCCCACTGTCGGGGACATAGACTCAACCTCGGTGTAGAAGTAGATCATTATGCAACTCGTAGTCGATAGCAGTTGTCTTTCCTGCTTCTATCGATTGGCACAGCTCCTGACAATGGGTATCCTCTACTTGCGCCTTCCTGATCTCTTCCCAAATGGCCCAAGTAGGCCATGTGATCGCACTCAACTCGGCCACATCTGTCCGTCGGGATAGTGCGTCGGCTACTGCGTTCTGTCGACCTGGTCGATAGATTATCTCGAAGTCAAACCCCATAAGTTTAGACACGAACATCTGCTGCTCGGGGGTAACAATCCTTTGCTCCAATAGGTGCTTGAGCGGTTGTTGGTCGGTAACAATTTGAAAACGTTGACCTAACAGATAAGGCCTCCAGCATCTTACAGCCTCGACAACTGCTAGCATCTCTTTCACGTACACTGACAGACCCAATCGAGTAGTGCCCAGTGCCTTACTGAGATAGG